TATATATATATATATATATATATATATATATATATATATATATATATATTGTATCTTGGTAACTCATACTTAATGTAATATTTTATCAAATAATGCTAATTATTATCTACTATGTGAGGCATTGTATGTTCCATTAACAACTAATAATTATCATTCCACTAAAATCACAATTTTCTAGTTCTTTTTATCGAATGATTTGAAAATTATGGTACAAATGCAAGTGTTATGTGTGTGTATATCATTAATATGTGTTATATTTTGTCATCATATTTTTCTTTGATTAATTGATAGATGTAGTAAAACTTTAAAGAAAAGACAGAATTTTACTTTTGTCAAGGACATTAATAGACTAAAATTCAATTTTTTTTTAATTACTATCAAATTTTACATTGACCCTTGTACAACACACATTAGTTTACATCAAATACAGGTCGTATTCAACATAAAATAAAATAAATTATATCTGTTGTTATCTTTGACACCAAATTACGCCACCTACAATAATGTCAGATATTTACTGAATGTAAAAAGTGAAAAACTAATAGAAGCAAACAAAACTTGTTTGTATAGTGATTAAATAAAGACATATACTATTTTGTGACTTAAGTTTTAATATAAACAATAATTATTTTTCATATATACTTTCCTTCTCAGTAATTTAAATATAATTTTGTAATTATTTTCTTCGTAAAACAAATCCCACTCTATGTTTAATAAACATTCTTTTCTACACATACTTTTTTAATGAATGCTATCTACCAATAAAAAAAAATTAAAACAATATATATTAATATTTTGAAATATTTTAATATTATCTTCGAATAATATAATAATTTTTTTTTCTAAAAAAACTAGTTTTATTGGAGTTATTTTCGTTATAAAGATATATAGTAATATTCAAAGGAGACAGTGCAAAACTATTCCACTTTACCAAATTCACAATTTCTAAACAATTCTACTAAATTTAAATTAATTTTAATAAAAAATCCCTTTTAATGTTTTATCTAAATAAAAACAATCAAATTTGTTATTTTTATAAAAAAATTCAATATTAAAATACTTAACTGTTCCAAAATATTAATTAATCATGTTTTTCTGTTTGGTGTTGTTTAAAGTATTTTTTGGTCAACGTTTTATATTTTTTTGTCGTTAAATTTTAAAAATATATTTTTAGATTGTTATTACTATAATTATTCAAACTAACATCGATGAATGTTATTTTTCTAAATTTTGTTAGTTAAAACTATTTTTCTAATTATTTTAATGAATATTAATTAATAATTATAGTCAAGACCGACAGAAAGTAAAATTGATTTCAGTATAACTGTAAAATAATTGTCATTCCCTTTACCTTTAAAGAAACCTTGATTAAAACCATAACAAAAAAGAGATGTTAGGTTCATGATGTGGAAATGTTAACCAAAGAGATGACATCTAAATCGAAATTGATCCAACAAAATCTCGAACCATCAGAAAAAGCTATGAAAATATAAAGATTTTGGAGAATATATATATTTTTAATTTAAATTTATAATTTTATAATTTTAAATTATGATGTTATAATATTTGAAATTTTTATTTCTTAAAATTTTTATCTAAATATACAAGAAACCATTTCAACTTGCTATTAACATAAATCAAACCGAAAATTCATCATTCAAGCATATTATAAAGTTTAAGAGTTTTTTTTAAGTCAAAATTTTTATTTTTTTGTGTTTTAGTATCATGTAATATTACTCCGCAGATATTGTCTTTAAATTAATGATATTTGAGCGCAATTTAACTGTAATATTTTTTATCAAATCAATATAAGTCGATTTTTAATTTTGTAAAATTTAAATTATTTATAAGAATTATTAAAAATGAAAATGATATAGTCAACTCTGTTAGAGAAAATGAAAATAAAAAACCTTTCAAAATTATTGTTTAAATAATTATATTCTTTTCTTTTTCTTACAACTTTGATGCTCATAACATTCTTTTACAGATCAATATTTTATTTGAGTTATACTATTGTTCTTCTTACAGAACGTTCATAGTTTTGATTATTGAGATATAATCCTTTTAGACAAAACATTAGCTTATTAATTATTTCCTTTTTAATATTTCTTTTTTATAATTTGTTAGGTATTTTCTCAAAACTACATATATGATTGTAGCTGTCATCAAAATATATTATTGATATAATCAATGACAATCAATAAATATTAAAAGATATTACATACTCAAAATATACTAAAATTAAAAGAGATTATTATTTTTTATATATTAACAAAAAATTGCGACCAAAAATATAACATAAGTTTTGAGAAAATCAATAAACATTCTCATATGACATACTTTTATTTATTTTTTATTATTTAACATAAATTTTTTAAATTCAATAGACTTTAAATTTAATACAATTCTTCAGATTTATAATTTTTTTATCTATTTATATAACACTTATATAATGTAAATTCATCATTTTTAATAATAATATAAAAAATATAAATAATAAATTCTATTATATATAATTTGTTTTGAGATATATCATGTTTTGGTAAATTATTAATTTAATCAGTATTTAAAATATATACTTTATTATACACATTTTATATATAATTTAATACTGTGTATATTTCAGATTAATATTTTTTTAAAAGTTTACTTTGTTACGTGATAAGCATGGTGCCATCACTGCTGGTATATTAATTAAGAAAGTTGGTCTCCCACCTCATGGCTAAGAAACACAAGTTTTTGACATTTTTTCTTACTTGCACATGCATACACTTCATAATTTGCGGTGGCGTAAGTGATATTAATAACTTAATTATTCTAGTATATAAGAAAAATTAATATTTAACCTAATAAACTTATTTTAGAGATGAAATTGGTTTAGGGTTGAAATTTCATTTTATCTCACTCTACATTTCAATTTCAAGATAGAACAAATTTTTTTTAATAAATATCAAGTGTTGACAGTGAGTTTTAAGGAGAAAAGTAGTATTTTAGTTTGTTTAGTGTATTATTTTTATACAATAGACATTTTTATATTGTTTTTAACTTAAGTTTTTTATAACTTATTTCCATGAAAAATGCAGAATTTGATTTTTTTTTCTAAATTAAATGAAAATAATTTTAACAAATTAGTCACTATAATTAGACAGTTGTCAACAACTATATTATCCAACTGTAGCATAGCTTTCTGATTACTCACATCCATTTCGTCTGTTTGGAGTGTGAAAAGGACACCGAGTGACACTGTTCTAACCGTGAACTGGTTTGAAGTAGAGTCTCCTTAACGAGAGTGGTTACGCTAATGCGACTAGTCTCCTTCAACTTCTTAAACTCTCACACCCAAACCCTTTCTTCTTCCCGGTGACGTTAACAATGTCAGATCCGAACCAGATTTCGTTCGCTTTATCCTTCTTGTGCAGCGCTTTCGCAGCTTGTTTCGCCGAGGTAACCTTCCTTCTCTAACCGATTTTGATTCGGCATTTGGATCTTGTAATATAGCTTCTCGCATATCCTATTGTTGTAGATAGAAACTGAATCGTACATTTATAAACCAAAGGAATGATATGTCAGGATTGCGTGACTTGAGTTGATCAAGTTTATTTGTTTGTGTATTTGTGTACAATTCGTGAAAAGTCAAATTGTGTGGGATTTTCACCAGACTATGTGAATTATATAACTTTCCTTGCATTTAGTTTTGAGTATATAGTGTCTGCATAAAATGTAGAGAGTTTAGTGCTGTGATCGAATTATAACAAAAAATTGTTGATTCTTATAATACTATACTAGGAGGATGATGATAATAATAACTGAGTGGTTCTTCAGTTAAAATTTGCTTAAAGTGACAGTTTATTTGAATTGATATTAAACACGTTAATTAGGATCATGAACAGAGTGAATACGACCTGGCACATCAAGCTAAAAAGTGGAGTCTAACTACTCACAAAATGAGTATTTTTGGACGAAAGAATAGAGAGATCCTAGTGAACGGAGAGAACATACATACTGGTTCCAGTTTTAGGTGAATGTGAGTCGACATCTTACCAAGGTGTGTGCACTTGTACATGTTATTGTTGATCCTTGATGTTCTTATTATACAGATAGTTTGGCATGACTGGTTACCTGACTGATTCTCTTAGTTAAAGGTTTTTCTTTTGCAAGAGTTTTACTCTAATTTTCTTCTTTAGTAATTTTTTTTCCTTTTGTGAAAGATAAAATAGTATATCCATTAATTATGTATAATGCACTATCAATTATGAACCACCATGAATGGTAATTTGGCTGACTTTGGCAGTAACCATAGTAAACGTCATATCAATGATGATTTCTAATTAGTTAACAGTGTAAAAGAACTTTTACAATGACTGTGCCCATCTTTTAACCTCTAAAAAATTTAGTTACCGTGTTTCAAACTTTTTTACAAGTTTCATTTTTGCCTTTCTTAAGTTACATTATTCATAATTAGATGCATCTATGCCAATATTGTATCAAACTACTGCTATAGAAATTTAACCTAGAAACTTGCCTATGAGAAAGTAATTCTAATAATTCTTTTGTGGTTGAGTTTTGTGCAGTTTTGTACCATTCCTCTGGACACAGCTAAGGTCAGACTTCAACTACAAAAGAGGGCAGGGGTTGATGATGGAGTGGGTTTACCTAAATACAAGGGCATGCTAAGCACAATTAAGACCATTGCTAGAGAAGAGGGTATATCAGCTCTGTGGAAAGGAATTGTTCCTGGTTTGCATCGCCAATGTTTATATGGAGGCTTAAGAATCGGATTATATGATCCTGTGAGTATATATATCTAACTTTCATTGAATAAGACTGTGATTGGAGGAACATGGGTTGTACATATGAACTGCACCATGAACAGGTCAAAACATTTCTTGTTGGTAGTGCCTTTGTTGGAGAGGTTCCAATATACCATATGATCCTGGCTGCTCTGCTCACTGGTGAGTACTTCTGAACAGTTCTAATGCATCATTTCAGATTTCAGATTGCATAACATTAATTGATTTTCTCTCCTTTGTGGAGAAATTAGCATCTTCTTTTATTCCAGTTGGAAAAAAAAAATTATAAAATAAAAGGCAAATGATGCTTGAACTATGTTCATTTTTCCCATTTACATGGAATTAAAATTCTAGCTATGCTTTTTATTTGTTAGTTATTTATCAAGAAACTTCATCTTCATATTGTAGCACAATACTTTATCATAAATGTGAAATAGTAGTTGCATAATGTAAATTTAGGGTGAAGTTATTGACTTTACAGTTGGATAATGGAAGTTGGAAAACAAAAGGCTAATAATTTGGATAATAGAAGTTATTGAATTTACATTTTTTATTATATTATATATTGCAGTCACGAATCTCTTTTATTTAACTCATGATAGGTGCTTTAGCAATCACGATTGCTAATCCAACTGATCTTGTTAAAGTTAGGCTTCAATCCGAAGGTCATCTGCCATCTGGGGTACCTAGGCGTTATTCTGGTGCCATAGATGCTTATTTAACTATATTGAGACAAGTAAGCCTTTCTTATGAGTTTTTTTGTTCTTGCTTCTTTGATTATATTGAAAATTTACTAGTTGAGTCTAATTCTCTATATTTTCTTTTGTTAAACTAGGAAGGAATAGGGGCCTTGTGGACTGGGCTTGGGCCAAACATAGCAAGGAATGCAATTATAAATGCTGCTGAATTAGCTAGCTATGATAAAGTGAAACGGGTAATCACATTATTGGGTAGTCTAAATTGTATTTTTGCTATACTTGGAAGTACAACCTTGCACAATTTAATTTTGTTGGGAAACAAATCCCTTTCACACACAATGAGGATCAGAGATATGAGACACACAAAACAATACCACAAAAAAGAGAAATAGCCAAAAGCATATACAAGACCACCCCTCTTTCTCTGTAACTTCTCACTTCATGTAATCCCTTTATATAATAAAGGTTGGCGGCTTCCTTCAATAAAGAGACTTTGTTATCTTTAATCCACTTTTCATATACATCTCATTATGATAGTGGATTCACCTTGAGTTTACAAACATGCATCCTTGGCTTTCCACTTACTATCATTAATGCTTGGAAATTTGGACTGATTTTCCCAACAAATTGCAATGCTGCTCTGATTCTTTATACTTATGCAGACGATTTTGAAAATTCCAGGGTTCATGGACAATGTCTATACTCACCTTCTTGCTGGCTTAGGGGCAGGTCTTTTTGCTGTATTTATTGGTTCTCCCGTTGATGTGGTAGGTGTTACAACATCCCTCTCCCCTTTTTTTGTCTTCAGTTTGCACTTATGCTTAAGAAGAACACTTCGATAGCAACAAGTTGTGTTTATAATAAAAAGAGGCTAGAAAAGAAGTAAGGGGAATCAAATAGTCAATGGTACAATTTGAATACTTTGATTTAACATTTTGGTTCTGGATGATGTAGAGTTAAAGTTGACAGTGTTACTGGATCTTACCAAACGTAACCCAAACACTTTTTCCAAGGGCAATTTGCTTTCAATACTTCTGTCTATGTTCCTCCATAAACATTCTGGTGAAATTATAAGTAACTGGGTATTTTGAAATTCTAGGACTATTGCTAGATTCCTTTACACTATTGGTGAAATTTGTATGAAGAAGCACACTCTTTTATGAAGCTACTGGATTACTTGTTTTAATGCCCATAATTTTTCAGGTGAAATCCAGGATGATGGGGGATTCAACCTACAAAAGCACATTTGACTGCTTTCTCAAGACTTTGCTTAATGAGGTTTATGAATTTCCTTATTTGATTTTATGTATATTTGCTGTTTAAAATCTTGGACCAAGTGAAATTGAAAGATTCATTATAATAGTTGTCACCTTTTTCTTGCTATATTTTTATTTGGTTGTCCAATATTTTTATAAATTGAAAGATTCATTACTATGGTTATCACCTTACTTGTATGAGGTGATTTGGGAGAGCGGACGCAAACTTTTCGGTGCATAATTAAAGAGGCTATTGAGCAGCGTACTTAATTCCTATTCAATGAATGTGATTTTCCATATCGCAATCTTTGTTGTTATGATCCTTTGAATTGTTATGATCCTTTAACAATCTAAAATTATTTTCACATTTGCCCCTGGCGTGTTCATTTGATAGTAAGCTGGCGTGAGGTCTGCATATAGTTTGTCCTTTTCTCTGCAGCTTGAACTCATGTTACAAATGTATTGCAGGGATTTTTGGCCTTCTATAAAGGTTTCCTTCCAAATTTTGGTCGAGTAGGAGCCTGGAATGTGATTATGTTTCTTACTTTTGAACAAGTAAGATACACGTTTTATCTTGGCAATGCTGTTAGATTTATCTATTGTAATTTATATATCGTATTGCACCCTGATATCCACTTACAAATGCCCTGCTTTAAGGTTTAAGCCACTGTGTATGTTCAATTACGCAGCTTGCAAGTGAACGTAAGGTTTACCGTAGTGTAATCAATATTTTCAATGAATTTTTCCCCTTCTGCTTCAGCTTCTAGCATTACAAGTCTTTAGCGAAAATAGCTTTTTGTAACTTATTTGTCTCCTTAATCTGAATCAAATGTCTGAATTTTACCAATGTCTAGCCGACTAAAATAGTCAATTTTCAAATGTAGGGTGGATACACTATTACTTTTTCACTTAACGTGCTTTCTTAAGAGAATTCAAATCACATTTCAAGACTCACATTGTATGAAGACAGCTGTGAATTTTCCCATTAAACTAGCCCTGTGAATATTGCAGAAAGACTGCTTTTTGCATCATGGGATCATTTGTTGTTTTGAGGAACTGCTTCGTCTAACAGGAAGTTTTAATGACTATGAATTTGCTTGTCGATACTGAAAGTGCTATTTGATTCATGTGGCAGGCGAAAAGATTTTTGAGAGGATAATTGTTACTTCATGATTGATATTGACGAAGGAAAATTAGTGTTCTTTCTCGGTTGAGTGCTATCAGATGAACGGCAAATTTATTACAAGAAAGGTGGTCTTTCCACATTCATTCCCCATTTCTTCCTTGTGGACGGACATCATGCTTAAAATATTTAGTCAATGAATAAACCGTCAAATTACCTCGTATATGATTGTCTCATGCTTATGCCATGTGAAGGCCACAATTCAAAGTTTCAAACATTCTTAGCCAATTAATAGACCTGAAATTACATTTACTTGAAAGACCTACACTGTACTGGATTGATGCAGATACATTTTTTTGGGAAATAAATTGCCTATTTCCCGACTTATTGAATAGACAAATTAAATGAAACATGTATGCAAACTAATATCTAGAGGTTCTATAATTTTTTACTTTATTCAAATATGATGGGGTATCACCATTAATAACAAATTTTATTTAAATCCCGGATAGTTTTCGACTTAGGGAATATAATAAGTTTCCTTTCTGTCTCTATCTCGTTTGAAAGTCAAATATTCAGAGAGAGAAAGAATAGCTTGCCAATATAGATTTCGTAATGAACAATTTCATAATCACTTCCGTCCAGACACAATCACTTGAAAATCAATAGCCTAGCCGACGGAATTTTCATATTACATTAACAGCCCTGAATCCTGCTAGGTAAAACTTAGCTCACTGTGATCCGTTTTTCCAAATCATGACTCCCTAAAGAGTGATTCTATTTGCATCCTCTTTTTCTCTCACACCTTTTCTACTTTTTTTTTTCTTTTTTACATTTCAAAAAGCAATTCCTAGTATCCTAGAACCTAATTTGTGGAATGTAAAAAAGTGAGGCGGCGGAACCAGAAAAAAAGTGGTGCAAAAAGAACTTCCCCTCAGAAAAAACTTTTATGTTCTCGCTATCAAATAAACTCTGGCCTTTATAACAGACCCATTCCCAAGCTTAAATCCAGGGCTAACGGGAAAGCCTACAACTTGACCAGCTGACACTCGCCCACCTGAAAATTTGACGACACTGTCCATGTACTGTTGATGGAACTCAGCTCCGCGACTTGCCTCAAACTGACTTGGTGCAGGGTTCAACGAGAATGCCAGTAAGTGAAGCAACCACACTGTCTTGGCCAACCCTAAAAACTCATTGTAGAACTCACTCCTGGGATGGTTCCCTGCTTGGACTTGACTGTGCTGCTCCAAGTTCCCAAACAAGGACTCCTCCATCTTTGGATGGACAATGGCAAGGTACTTCTTGGAACAGAATTTGCCAAAGTGACAACTTGGTAAGATTCCAAGAAGCTCAGTAGGATCCATGGACTTCATGTCCCGGTACTGAGTGAAGCAATCACGTCGAAACTGATCAGGGTTGAGGAGGGAGGAGAGGCTTCCATCCATGTAGAAAGTCTCGTGGTCAAACCCTTGAAAGATTTTCCTTGATATATAGGATTCAAGGGCATACTTGGCATGGTGAGCTGAGACAATGGATGTGGTTGAAGTATTGTGGTATTTGTCAGTTGAGGCAGTAGCAGCTTCAATGGAACGAACAGCAGCTGTTATGTCCCAATGTGCATTGTGCATCAGAGACAGCAGCAGAGATGTGAAAGACTTTGACGCTTCTCTCACTTGCACCATTGCTGCTTCAAACAATTCTGGAGTTGGTACTGCTGCAATTGCTGCATAAGTAATTTAGTAAATTTACGGACGATGAAAAGATGATTCAGTGATGAAGTAACTTAAAGAAATTTCAGCATTGAATAAAAATGTTTACATTGAATATTCATATTAGCCTGTTTTTAGAATAAAAACATTCAAATATAAATCACTTCATCTCAAATCAATCTAATTGAAGATCAAGTTTGCCAATTTTACACAAACACACTCTAAAGTCAGATTTGGAGCAAAATCATTTCTCACAGTTGACACCTTCAATTCAACTAAACACACTTTGATTTAGCTCGAAGGAGCATCTGAGACCCCAGATCACGCAATGTAGGAGAGTCTTGCCAAACGCCAAACCATTCAGATGCAAGAACTTCGAACAAAAGTGACATACTTCCAAGTCAAAGCAACGAAATATAATAAAAAGAGACTTTTCAATCTTTTTATTCTTCTCAATATTCCATCCATCTAATTCTAAACACCATATTCCATGATATATACATAAATATATTATATTAAAAAAAGAGTGGCATGTATATTGCTTAATGTACCTTGAATTCCCAGCCTCCTCTTAGACAAGGACCTCCCAGGCTTCTTTTCACCACTCCCATTAGTAGTAAGAGCAACAGCACTATCAAGCTTCTCCCTCAGATTCTTCACCTCCAAATCCTTCACTTTCACCTCCTTTTTCAGCTCCTCCACCACTGCCTCGTACGGCGCCACCACCTCCCTCACCGACGCCACCCCACCACCTCTCCTCCTCCCCTTCCTCCTCCCTTCCCCGCCCCCGCTCCGGCGGAACCGCTCCCTCAACACGGCCAGCTTCCGGAGCTCCGTCACCACCGCCACGTCAGCAGCACGCATCCTCTCCGGGTCCCACGGAGAATGCGCCTCCTGAAGTCTCACATATGCCCTCTTCATCGACGATACCGTCTCGAACACCTCCTCCATAAGCCCCTCCATCTGCTTCACTTTCAGAGCCTTCAAAGGTCCCAACGCTCTCTCTTCCTCGTACTCCTCCTCCTCCTCCTCTTCTTCATCCTCGTACTCCTCGTTCCTGTTCTCCTCAGAGTCGTAGGGTGAGTTATCGTCCTCCTTGCCGGAGGCTGCGGTGGCCAGCGGATGAAGGAGGCAGGATGCTGTGACCCTTTGGATCAGATCGGAGAAATTCGAGACCTTTCGCGTCATGGGTCAGTCTAGATGCGTTTGTGTTGGACTTTGACAGAGACGCCACTGAGAGGGAAGTCAAGCTCAGAAATGGTGGCAAGAAAGTGAATGTGAGTAGGACCAGTTACAGTGTGACTCTATATAATTATAATAATAATAAATAATAATAATAATAACAGATAAAAAAATAGGAATGGATATTGGAAACACGTGCTGTGTGTATAAGACTAGTGTGACTTTGCTGGATTAAGTGAAGTGTCAGACCACCCACGAGGAGGGTGCGCACCATCACCATGTCACGTCATTAATCATATTGCAACTGTTTAATTACGTTTTTAATTAAAGAACATTATTATTAGATTTTCTTTTCTTTTATTTTTATAATTGGTTATTTGAAATTACTAAAATTATACACGAGAAGTAGATTTTTACTTTTTCATATTAAGTCACTGTTAATTAATTTCAGTTCCTCCGTTAGAAAAAATGTTACTTCTTCATTTTATAAAAACGAAAAATATTACTAATTCAAAGTATATGTGAAATAGTAATTTTTCAATAAGATTTAGTTAATAATGATAAAAATACACTAAAATAAGCTAATTAAAAAACACTCCTTTAGCCACATCGCTCTCCATGTGGTTTTCTTGTTAAAGGAAGAATGTGATGGAATGTGAGATACCGGTGAGAATTCAATTGTGAGACACAGTTTTCAAGAGTGGGGATTGTGTTGAAGTTAACGTGAAAAGAAAAGGAAAAAGAAAATTGAAAAGCAAAAGCAATGCAATGGCTTTGGTAGGGTGACGTTATTAGGGACCCATAAGCAGAGGGAGATGATTGACCTGTTGCCGGAGTAAACTGGCAGCGTGCGGAGGCAGACGGTGGCAAGAGCCGTGAGTCACGGTTATTAGAGTGGTGGTGTTGGTGGTGGCTACATGTATAGCAATGTGTGGATGAAATAAGACAGTGGAAGTGATTGATTGGGAAGAAGGTGGTTATAGCAATTGGTAGTGATAGCATAGCATGTGATGAGATAAGAGGATACAGTGAAACGTGTGGAGACAATAAATTTTCTTAGCTGTAATATCCTTTGCCTATTTTTTTAATTAAAAAAATCAGATGAAATTAAATTAAAGATTAATTGCAATGTTTTCTAAAAAAATATTCATTCTTGCTATTGTTACCATTTTTAATTCTCTGAAAAATGTTACAGGGATTATTATTATGTATCTGTCTCCGATATAATTTCATGTTCAAGTAACAAACATAAATACAACAGAATTGAAGATTGAAAGAATTACTTATAATTAAAATTGAACTAATCAAAATGATGAAAATAATACAAAATCTTAGAGGGAGAAGAGAATATTTCAGAAATTCTGAGTTTTTAGTTGACTATGAAGATATTAACATAAGGGTTAATGTGGTAATTAAGAACTTCGTACGAATTTTCTCTTTATGTTTTGAAAGATTTGTGTTTTTTCGAAGTAGGTGTCATATGGGGTCAGACACCTTATCTAAATGCTTCCATCCAATTTTCTTTTTCGTCGTCAAAGTACAACTAAATTACAACTTTGCAGAATAAAAAAGAAGATAAATATATCATTAGAAGTAATGAAAATGTCTTTTAGGGTTTGATTATACGAATGTGTATAACAGAAACAAAATGTGTAAAAGTAAGAGTGAATTGATACAAGAATACACTTTTTTTTACTGACACTCAGCATGTCCTAAAACCAACGACTTTCACAGCTTTAGTTTTAATTTTTTTTTGTTCATTATGCAATAAATGATAACAAATGTAGAGCAGTAAAAAGTTAATTTTTAAGTTTATCTATTAATTATCTTTTAAATTTTCACCTTTGGACGCTAGAGAATAATTGAAAATTAATATAAAAATAAAAGTTGTTTTTTAGATTTTNATTGAACTAATCAAAATGATGAAAATAATACAAAATCTTAGAGGGAGAAGAGAATATTTCAGAAATTCTGAGTTTTTAGTTGACTATGAAGATATTAACATAAGGGTTAATGTGGTAATTAAGAACTTCGTACGAATTTTCTCTTTATGTTTTGAAAGATTTGTGTTTTTTCGAAGTAGGTGTCATATGGGGTCAGACACCTTATCTAAATGCTTCCATCCAATTTTCTTTTTCGTCGTCAAAGTACAACTAAATTACAACTTTGCAGAATAAAAAAGAAGATAAATATATCATTAGAAGTAATGAAAATGTCTTTTAGGGTTTGATTATACGAATGTGTATAACAGAAACAAAATGTGTAAAAGTAAGAGTGAATTGATACAAGAATACACTTTTTTTTACTGACACTCAGCATGTCCTAAAACCAACGACTTTCACAGCTTTAGTTTTAATTTTTTTTTGTTCATTATGCAATAAATGATAACA